ATTAAAAGTTGAAGGACCGGTAAGCGCCGCCTGTTGCCATGAGGGCGAGTGTGGAACACTTTTTTTTTTCTACCTGTTTGGTGTTACGCAGCACGTGATCCCATTACAAGCTGGCAGCTGACCAATTATACCTTGCATACTACCTGAATGCACCAAGTCTGCCAGAATGAGACCTTCGCTATGAATGAGGAAAGAAGTGTCAATTTAAGGGCTCATTTTCTTTGTAGTTTTGATAGTGACTTTTAAAGATGAAAACTTCGTAGAAGATGCAGATGGTGTGACTAGAGTTATGTTAAGTTGAGAATAAGTAGAATGTCTTCTGGGTACTCAGGTCTTTCTAAGCTGGAAGAATAACTGAACTAGTTATCTTACAATGTCGCCACAAAATAAACAAAAAACTGAAGGTGCAAACATATATGTACTGGTACACTTGGGGGCACTAAATATGTGCGTTCAATCTTCCCACAAAATCTCATTCAATTGAAGGACAGAATGTGCTTTTGTTGAGCTTGCATCTAATGTATAAAGAAGCCTCAGCTGTTTAATGCATCCCGTGCCCTCTGTGTATTGTAACAGTGGTACCATTGAAAAACAGCACGTATGCAAACACACGTGTGGCAGCGGCTATAGGTAAATCAGACGGGGGGGGGGGGAGCCTTCAATAAAGTGTGGCTTTCTTTAAAGCATACATTGATACACCGCCTGATGTGGGCTGTGTATCAATGTATGTATGACTTCACCACAACTAAGTAGAACTTCATGCGGATTGCCACTACCACAGGGCATAAGTGAAGCTTGAGTGTGAAATGGCAAGCGCAAAAGTGGGACAATATTGTACGACACACAGGTGTAGCACTGCCACAGCTTGAATAAGCAAAGCTATTTCAGTGATGTTGCATGTTCGTTATCTGCTGTTTATTGCTGGTCAAGTGATAATAAAGACTCACTTGTTAGTTAGAGTTGCATGTGTTCTACTTTGCTGTCCTATTTTTTCATGATGTTTCACACTAGAGTGTACAGCAAATGGCTCGCATGCAATCGGTAAACCTTCAATTGTGCTTGGTCTGACGGTCAGTGTTTTGGGAATTAAGCCCTTCTCTGACTGCTTGATTGTTGACAAGTTTATATTTTGTTAATGAAAGAACATTCTTATTTTACCTAATAGTCGAGTGATGTAGCCCATTCCGGCACATTGTCCACATATGTCAACACTACTTCTTTGTGCATGTTCACTCGAAAAGTTACCGCGAAGAGGAAGAAACACTGAGATGCGAATAATTTAGTTTTTCGAAGGCCTTACCATCATCGCCGAGTTACTTCCCGTGTTACATTCTGGAAGCGACGCAAAAAAATACAATCTTTGTTGACGCACAGTGAATACAACCAGTCACAAATCGCACACATTCTTCATCTTACTTGTGATTCTTTTCATAACAAAGTAGGGCATGAGTGACTTCACAGTAAACCTACAATTAATTATGGATCGGTATAATTTTGTGATCTTGCAATCTGCAGGTAAGGCTGACGTCGATAGTGACTTATTTTCTGCAAGTCACTTTTGATGTGTGACCTACCTGCATATTGGAAGATCGCAAGAATTGTACTGATCCATAAGTCAGGAGACGCTAATGTACTTTCCAACCACAGACCAATTTGCCTTAGCAGCACATCATGTAAAATTTTGGAGCCCATTGTAATCAAGAACGTAACCACATGTTTCTAAGAAAACATTCTGGTTGATGTTCGACATGGTTTTACAAGAGGCCTATAAACAGTCACTCAGCTTACAGAGGTGGTTCATGATCTCGTATTAGGCATTAACAACCATAATAAAACAGACGCACTTCTATTAGACTACAGTAAAGTGTTTGACTGTGTGTGCCATACCAAAATTGCCAAAATTACTGCTGTGATTGGTGACGGTCCCATCATTGCATAGATAAAGAGCTGTTTGTTTGATTGATCCCAATTCGTCAATATTGAAAACATCTCATCTGCCCCTGTGCCGGTGAATTCAGGCCACCCACAGGGCTCAGAAATGGGCCCACTGTTATTTTTGATTTTCATCAATGACATAACGACGCGCATTGATTGTGAAGCTAGTATTTTCGCAGAGGATCGTATAATAAATCAAGAAACACACAACAGTGAAGACCACGTTTTACTCAATAGCACTCTAACCAAAATAACCGAATGGTGTGACTGGTGGCAAATGAGACTTAATACAAAAAATTTCATTTTTAAATGAGCTTTCATATTATGTGATGCGTTCTGTAATGTGGTGATTGTAGTTATAAACAAAAACATTTGTCAACCGGAGCTTATTTGCGTCGATGTGTCTGATTTCTTTGTCTCAGTCGCACTGTTTGTATACAAGCATGAAACAACTCGTCCATTTCCAAAAGGTTAAAATCCTATTACAGTGTACTCACGCAGTTTACGACAATAAAGAGCACCACCCGAGAAGCTTCTGTAGTACTGGAATCACAAGCAGTCCACCATATGCGAAAATGTGGTCCTAAGGCGGCAGATGGGCATCATTTCCTCAAAGAATTGCTGCAATTAAAATACTTATTTCCTACAGGTCATGCAAAGTAACTCGGGAACATTATTTATTTAACGAACATATCTCTACCAAACCTAGACACTTAAGCTTTATGGCACTAACCACATGCAATTGACTGCTCATAATATTTAAATGAAGCCAGCTGTTTCTTTGCATCACATGAATCTGCACTATTCGGTAACCCAGTACACACTTGACGCGTGTATTATAACACTCGAAACATCCTTTTTTAAACACGTATCTTAAGTAACAAGGGCAGTACTAACTGCACACAGCGCGAGACAATCCGTGTTGCACCACGTATCGAGCACGTCGCTTTCATAGCCGTCTAGCCTGATTACTCAGGATCAATCACAATTGCAAGTGCACCGCGCCCCGTGTTAACGTTACAAGTAGTGGCATCACACACGCTCCGCGTTCTTTATTGAGGTCTACTTACAGATGCAGCATTAGACTGCGCGATTCTGCACTCTTCTCTCTAAGTAGTTATCAAAAGGAAATGAAGAAAAAAGTGCCGACCCGTAACTGTCTCTCCTTACGAGGGCACCTCAACAGGTCGGCAGAGGAGTGGGGTGGGAGAAGGGGAGTGAAAAGCATATAAAGAGAACAGAGGATGAGTGTAAGAAGAGAACCCGCACCCGAAAGTTGAGAAGAGATAGCAAAGATGGAAACAGTCAGACGAGATCGAGGACGGGGTGCGCCGATCTGGCGAGAGCTACAGCACCGGAGATGAAGGACGGCACACCGAATACAGTTCAGCTTGAGTTCCTTGGAGCGCATTCTGCACGCCTAGCGAGAAAACTGCAGCGTATTTGGGCGTGATCTTTGCTCAAGCACGGCTTGCATACTGTTACACCGCGCAAAGAGAGACAAGTAAAACACCGGAAATAGAGCCATCATTTTATATCGAACGCGAGCGGCACTTCGCACACCCATAAGCATGCGTATACGAAATCAGATGAAGCGTGGTGCTTTCATAATCAATTTGGCTAGTGGGGCACTTTCCACCGAAACGTGGGCCACTGAATCCTATCCCTTAAAATGTCTACGTGCAAACATCTCGAAGACGCGTGCTTTTACGGTGCCGAGGAGATTATTTAAGCGCTATAACAATTACAGCTCATTTCACTGCGCAGTTGCAGAGTGTCCCGAGACGCTCTTGCCGCTTTCGCTGCAGCGCACGTCACTAGCAGACGACGGGGCGCGGAAAGATACACTTAGATGTGCTCACTCTTCTGATTGGTTGAGAAGGCCTGTAGCTTCCACAGTGCTGCACAGAACTTCTGGAACAGAGTATAAATTTTCATACAGGTGCCACAAATACGCATTCGCCGTCCCAAGCATCCGACCTATTTTTGAATACGCTGCCACGCACGTGTGTCATCATGTCACCGCCTGCTGACGCGGCGCTCCCAACCGTAGGATCCGTTACTGCTATATCCCGTTTCGAAACGCCAGACCCACCTCCTAAGCTTTTAGATTGTAAAAAAGAACAAAAACTAAATGTCAGTTGCCTTATCCGGTTGCTGTCGTAGCTACGTATAAATTCGCTCGGTAGTGAAAACCCCGGGTAGGTAAAGAAAAATAAATAAGGGGGAGCGGGCGAGATCATGCATGGTCGACATCACAAGTGTGGGGATCACTAACGATAAAAGAAGATATGATACATGTGTGTACGTGAAATTATCCCACAGGAAAAAAAGGAACATAAAAAACCACAGCATATCTTCGGACTGAATGATTATGAGTGGGGCGAAGCGTTCGTCAGTCCATTCGTTCTTGCATCCGTCCGTCCGTGTGACCGTCCGTGCGTCCATTCGTGAGTTCGTCCGTGTGTCCGTCCGTCTGTGCATTCATCCCTGCGTTCGTCTCTGCGTCCGTCCGCCCATGTGTGCGCTTGTCCATGCGTCCATCCGTCCGTGCGTGCATGTGTCTGCCTGTCCTTCAATTCATACGCACGTCCGTCCAACCATTCGTCCGCCTGCCTGCCTGCCTGCCTGCCTGCCTGCCTGCCTGCCTGCCTGCCTGTCTGTCTGTCTGTCTGTCTGTCTGTCTGTCTGTCTGCCTGTCTGTTTGTTTGTCTGTCTGTCTGTCCGTCTGTCTGTCTGTCTGTCTGTCTGTCCGTGCGTCCGTTCGTACGTTCATCTAGTAAACACTCCATGTACCACCATCTTGCATCTTGTCATCCTATGTTCATCATATAGTCCGTCCCTTCATCTAGTGAACACTCCAAGCACCACCATCTTGCTTCTTGTCATCATATATTCATCATATAAAAGTACCGCCATCCAGCGGACATTCTAAAGACTAAAAGAGGGGTGGCTACCTACTACTACGACGACGACTACTACTATTACATACAACGCGGACGAACGACCCACGGCATAAGGAGGTTCGCCCCTGAAAAGCGACCTACAGCTCGCACCTTGCTCACCTGCAGTGCATGCTGTTTGGGTAGAAGAGCGGGTAATGCGGCGAGACAAGCGACTGCGGCCGGTCCTTGTACGCAGTGAGAGTAGATGGCGGGTCATGGCATAGCGAAGCCATGTCCACTGTCGTCCAGCTAGCTGCAAAGCCCGTGGCTGTGACCGAGTAGTCCGAGTGGAAAGTCAGCCTTAGCTCGTTGGACTCCGAGAAGTGGTCGAATCTGCACAAGTGCAACGGCAGTGTTTCTCCGTTAAAAAAAACGCCAGGCCTGCGTGGCAGGTGCAGCACAGGCACAGCGAAAACTAGAAGAGCGGCCTTTCAGAGCCTTTTCAAAACACTCATTGGGTAACTACTGCAGGCACACTAGCTTGGTACCCACTAGGGCATTAATAATAAACTTTTGGGTAGTAGGCCGGCATTCGCTATTCTATTTTTCGTCCTTCTTCTGAGAAGCGTTGTATCCGCTAAACACTCGCAAGGAATTATGTGCCGATTGTCTATGCAGTGGCTGACGACGATAAAGAATTATTGCTGAAGTGGGTATGCGCCACAGTTAATAGCTGAAGAGAAACAAGATTTTGTAATGGGTTCGAGCATTGGGCGGCCCACTCGTTACGCTATTCACATTGTGTGATGACTGGTTATTCTTTCAGTGTTGTAAAACGATATATAAGTCGTATTAACGCGATTGCTTTCCCCGACATCAAACCTGCCTAAGGCAAGTTTGACAACAAACAAGTCACAAGCATCGGTGTAGCTCAGTGGTAGAATACTGGGATGGCACCCAGCGGACCCGCGTTTGAGCCCCACTGTGTCCTTGGTGCGAAGTTTTAAAAACGATAGTCTTTTTTTTGGTACTTCGGCGTAAAAAAAATTGTCTGTCTGTCTGTCCCAGTGGACCCGGTTTCAAGCCCCACTGTGCCATTGGCGCTAGTTTTTTTTTTAACTTCGCACGATGTGGTTACGGACACCAGCGGCGGCGGCCAACATGCAACTGCGCGTGACCCTAAAACTGATCTTATAACAGCTTTCGCTGTAAAAAAAGTGCTCCATGAGCAGCCTGAGAAAAACTCAAAAGTAGCTTGTTACGCAGGACATATGCGCGAGGTTTATTTCAATTCGAATAATACTTTCATGATATGAGAAATAGAATCTACGGAATTGAAGGTTCATAAACGCGAGTGACTGTCATAAACCTGCATTTGCGCCAAATGCACTAAACGTATATTTGTAAGTACTCTTCTTCCACAGGAAAAATGGGTTCTCAAAAAGTATATCTATCTTCACAATTCTCAGATACCTACGTGTATTCACAATTTTCTAGCGCATAATTTTTGTGTGTAGGCTGCAGACGGAGCCTGGTTCCGGGTGGAATTCATGACAAATCTAAGCAGAGACAATATCTCATGAACCATGAGTTTTCTTTCCGAGTTTAACGATTTTGCTAGTTACTTCACGCTACAAACGTGTGGATAAGAGTTATGTCTCTTTGATTCTTGGATGAATATGGTGGGAGAAGTGGACTGATACAAAAGACACTCACCTGTCCAGGTCGGTCTCGTGCTGTCCACAGATGCGCACGGGATCAGCCCGGGTGTGCGGGCTCTCGATCTCGATGTAGTCGTATAGGCAGTCAGCTTGCCACTCGAGATCCAAACGAGAGAAAGAGAGCAGTACGCGCGAACCGGGGGGCCCCACGATGGACACCGTGTAGTGTAGGTCGTTCAAGTAGTGCGCCGGGTGATGCAGCGACATAAGCGAGCCCGTTTGCTCCGTGCGCGTGGAGTTCAAGTCTTCAGGAAGAGCTGCAGGAGGAACGACCACAGTGCACCGTGATGCATACTTGTCACGCGCGTACAGCATGAAATGGCAATGTGGCAGATCAGAATTTCTACTCAACTGCGACGCACTTTAGCCTGCACCGTGCATGCATCGAGAGGGTGCCGAACCAGATCTACTTTATAATAAGAAGACGGAAACACATCTCACGAGCTAGGTGCATTGTTTACGTCTTACCTGAACACTTATTTTAGGCTACCATCGATATGATGCAATTTTAGTGCATACGTAACCGTCGTACGAAGAAAAATGGGAATACCGCTACGAGATAGCATCCACGACAGATCAAACGACACAAAGGAACGTCGTGGAGTATCCCACTTCCTCCGTTGCGAGCAATTCTTCTCATGGTTATGAGTCCATTACTAGGGCCACAACAAGAGCAATAACATTGAATTAAGAGGCATTATATGGAGTAATCCCGGTCAGCTCATCTGATCTACAGCGTGCTGAAAGGCATGAGGCCCACGTAAGATGCATTGAACGCGATTTTCTTGATTTTCAGTTAGTCATTAAAGCGTCATAATGTGATTCACTCCCAGACAAAAATAGAATATTAGGGTACGGCCTCTCTTTCTTTAGGTATACCTTCGAAAAACAAGACCGAAGTGCTTTTAAACCTGGGTGCTTCTTGAAAGCTTCATCAGTAATGAGCGTGGATTGATTGATATGTGGGGTTTAACGTCCCAAAACTACCATATGATTATGAGAGACGCCGTAGTGGAGGGCTCCGGAAATTTCGACCACCTGGGGTTCTCTAACGTGCACCCAAATCTGAGCACACGGGCCTACAATATTTCCGCCTCCATCGGAAATGCAGCCACCGCAGCCGGGATACGATCCCGGGACCTGCGGCTCAGCAGCCGAGTACCTAAGCCACATGACCACCGCGGCGGTGCAATGAGTGTGGATTCGGTGAAAGCGTACAGTGTAAAAGCAACTACGTCTTCGTGCATCATATTCCATGTGTTTGTTCATACTATGTTTTAGCTGAATGACTTGTATTTTCAAGATATATTCTCAATAATAATAATAATAATAATAATAATAATAATAATAATAATAATAATAATAATAATAATAATAATAATAATAATAATAATAATAATAATAATAATAATAATAATAATAATAATAATAATTTATTTCCGATAAATGCGACTGAAAGCTAGGAAGGCTTGGCTAAAGTCAGACACTTTTTACAGCAGAAAACTTCATATATATTTTATTTGTATTCAAGAGAATAAAACAAGGTAAGACAGAAAGAGAACAAAACGAAAAAATGACAAGAGACAGACCTTTTCAGAACAAAAACAATGAAGAAAATGCCTTTTCGCTGGTTTCATTTTGCAGCATATGCGTTACACAAATCTATGTGGAAAGCAATGCCCCAAATGCATACAAATGAAGCATTTAGCGCTGTATAAAAATAACAACATGTGATACTAAATATCATCCTGCGTATAAAAAATGTCTTCACAGCAAAGTTCCTGGTAAGCGCTGATTCCAGCCAATCAGTATACCTTTATTACCATTAGCAAAGTTAGCTGAAAAATTTCTAACCGCACTTACACACGAAAAGCTTTGATAAATTCACCCGAAAGTATTATCGTTAACAAGAACAGTACAAAAAATCAGTCAGTTTGTTTGATACGTTATGTGCGGTCACTCGCTGGATGAGATCTTAGCTTTCTTTCGCAGCGCACGCGACAGTAACCACAATTGTGTTAAAGTCAGCCTTAGCAATTTTTATGACTAAGTCCACCTATCACCGTGAGTACAAAGAAGGCTAACCAGAATACTCAACGAATGAAACCCGTCATATATCGGTTGAACTATCATCTCCTGAAAAAAGAAAACTACAATATAAACAGAAGGAAAATGTGGCAGTTTAGGCAGGCGCCTCCATAAAGGGCACTCCACACTATCGGCCCCTAAGGGCGCCATCCTCTTGGCTGCTTCAGGATTGGAAAACATTTAAGTCGGCCTGACTGCTATCGACTGGGTGCGCCTAGCATGGGATGCATCAGTTCAGCGCGCGCACACAAGCGCTAGTCCCGATGAGCATCGATCCATGACAGCGCGCACTCACTGAACGCTTTTTTCTGGCAGATGTATCGGCCGGAATGGTCGCACGGCTTCCAGGCCCAGTGCAGGTCGCTTCCGTTCTGCTGAGGCCTCCACTGCAACGCCAGGCACAGAGGTGTCCCCTTGGTCCCAGAGCTGGCCGCTTCCCCTAGAGGCCATCGAAAATCGTGGACGTGCATTTCAAGACACATCATTCCCGTTTTTATTTCGCGGAAGCATAAGCAAAAAGTGCGAAAAGAGCAGCGCAATGGTGCGATTTGCTGTATGCTCGAGGTTAGCTGGCTATAGTAATGAGAGGTGTGAGGTGCAGTGTCTGTAGCTGACGGGACGTATACACGTGTCTGCTTCATATTAAGCCCTATTAAGAATTTCGAACCAACCATTGTTAAGTGGTCCTTCTCTTACGACCATGATTCAGAGAAATGCCTACCCCCCTCCGGCATCGCCACTCCTTTATTTTCTTTTATTCATAGAATACCGCTTTTATTTTATTCACACAATTTGTCATGGTGGCCCGCACCTCCGCATCTATAAGTGCCCTCTCCGCTTTCTTTGTTCGGATTGAGGAGAGGGTATGACGCATTACACGTTAGCGTTAAGAAAATCAGCTCTAGCCTTGAAGAAGACGTGTTCATAGTCATACTTTGGCCCGATAACACAACTACTGTTTACGAATGTTTTCCTTACTCTATAGGGTAATATGTATGCGCTAACGTCCCTCACACTTCTGTTAATATTTACGATTATGTAGTAGCCACTATTAAGTCATTACATCCTGATAAAAGAAGTAATCAAAAACGATCATCTGCAAGCTGTTTTTTACTTTTGCTACATTTTCCAGCTGAGTGCAGGTACTCTCATCACATAGAGAAGAGTCGAGACATTGCTGCTTGAGCTCAAACGCAAGTAAACGTGGGCTACTGATACCGAATCAGTCACAAACACACGCTTCTGCAAGTGGTGAAATGAGAACGAGACAACGTGTTCAAGTGAATGCACTCGCGTTCCAGAGCACCTGTTTTAGTGTAAAAACAGCACCACATTAAAAAAACACCATCTCCCTCTAAAGGGAACCATGTGTAGATTGGAAGCAGCGGGTGCTGACGCTTACACTAGCGGTGACGTTGACGCTGGCGCTAATCAAGCGAAAGCTAATAAAAAGCGCTCCTGACTGAATTCCGAACGTGCGATCAGTGCCTAAATATACGGAGTGACCAGTGAATGGTTGTGCAGAGCGAGCAGTCGGTTTTAGTAGCGGATGACATTGCGAGGCGAGAGAGAGGGAGGGGAGGAACAGTTATGCGGGTGTCACACACGGTGACCGACGGCAGGCTAGAGAAAGAGTGACGTTAATGCGCGCGCTACGAGGGAAGGCGCGACCTACTTGGCACCGCCCCAACACCTGTGGCAGGGGAGCACAGTGTGAACGGAGGGACAGCGTTACACAGGCTAATAAAAGATCTGCTTCGCATTCAAAATATATTTCAGAGGAGAACACCTTCACGGGTTTCGAGCATCTCACCGGGCGGCTCTTCGGTGGTGTCGGCGGCGTTCTCGGCACTCGCCTCGTCCACCCAGGAGCCAGCGTCAGCCCGTTGCCCAACCTTGCGGCCGCCGAGCCAATACCAGACGCCGGAACCGGAACCCTCGGTGGCTGCCACAAGCGCTCTCAGGTGGGCCTCCTGAACCAAGAAGAAGCAAACTGTACGAAGGGCTAACTGCGACGTCAGTGTCAGCTTAAACGCGATGCAAAACACGCCTCCCCGTCGTAAGTGTATGAAACTGAAAGGTCATCAGTGATGTCAACACGTTTTTCAACAAAAATTGGTCCGTGTTAGAAAAAAGTATGTCTCGTATTCAAGGAAACAGCTTACGAGAAAATTTTTTGCATAAGAACATTTTAGTCAATTATGATGTGGTATTTTTCATTAGCAAAGCCGGCTGACCTATGGGTAAACAAAATTACGAAACAGAAGTTTTGTAAAATTGACCCCTTCTTTTGATAATGTTGTTAAGACGAAAAAATTCCCCGCAACTCGAATGTTGCAGAGTATTATCGACTAGTAGATGTTAAATAATCAGTTGCGAAACACTCGCTAACCAAGGCTGTTCTATTCAGACCCCGAATCTGGCTGTAAGCTTGAATACCATGATTAAGGTTCATTTTTACAGATAACCCCAGCTCCTCTGACTAAAGAACATTGATGTGTTAAAAAAAAAAACGTCTGAAAGTTTGAGAAACATTGCTACAATTGAGGGACTATCTGATTTTATAATTAAATTGCTCGGGAGAACAGTTACAAAGACCTGACTTCCTGCACGCTTGGAACATGCCATACGATTATAAAAAGCACTTCTCAGTGCTCCTAGAAAACGCTAGGGCTACCGGTATCTTCATCACCAACGCCACCACCAGTTCATTGCTCATAATTGAGTTATGATTCTGGGATAACGGAAAGACTGTAAGAATGGAACCTCAAGGCAGTTCCTACACTTCAAGAACACTTTTTGCTTCAGGCAAAACGTGAAAGTGGACGCAAATGCCATAGCGCTTGCACACGTTGAATGTGTCACCTAACGTGTTCGGAGAAGGTCATTCAATGAATTTTGAAGAGCATTTTACGATATAAGTCAGTGTAGGCAGAGCTCTCGCTTGTCTGAGCGAGGTGAGACCGAGGCGTACCTGCGCCGCCGTGCGAACGGCAGCCAGCGTGGCCTGTGACTCGCTGCAAACACGCTGTGCTGTGGCCCAGGACACTTCAGGGAAACTGGCCGTCAAGTAGCAGTGGTCAGCAAAGCGCTGGAACTGACGCGCATCACACAGTTGCGTCGGCACCGCCTCTGTAAGCAAACAAGGTCGTATTCACTTATCTGAGCCATGCCCTAAGCATTTGATCTGAATGACAATTATTTGAAAGTTATTGCTGACGCATGATATCAGGTATTGTGACCTGTTTGAATGCTAATAAAAAGGACAGGAGCCAAGGGAAGATGAAAGCCTGGGATGAAAAATTCATGAAGAGGGGTTTTCCTGGAAACAAAGTTCCGACAGAAGGACTTGCGTTCTGCAAAGCTGCATTTTAAAGTTGCAGTGCTGTAGAAAAGTCTACCTGTCGAAACGTCGGCACCAAACAACCCTTGTTCACGAACTGTTTATGTGCTGTGGATTGCTATATCTGGAATAGATAGAATCTATTCTAGGCCTCGCGATTTTTTCCTAATACTCATGGAATAAAAATGCATTGTAAAAACACGCATTGTAAGACCAATGACAGCTTGCTAACTTGGGAAAATAGTGAGAATAATTGACACTCATTCTAAGTTTCCAGTGTGGCCCACCTGCAGATGATTCCCGGAAGCCTATGTTTTTGATTATTAACGAAGCTTCTGAGACATTATATATCTATAGTCTTCTTGTTTTCTCTTTACTTTATATTCCTAAAACTCTTTTAAGGGCGTTAGATGGGGTGTTTAACACGTTTGTATAATAAAAGCATGTTTTATGATGTGAGATTTGTTTCATGGTGCCCAGAAATTCAGAATGACTCTTAATGGCTGCAACATGGTTTGGCAGTTCGTTCCAGTGTCTGGTAGCGTGAGAGAAAAATGAGGCTTGAAATGTTAAGGTCAATGTTCGAGGGCGGGTAACTTACTGTAACCTTTCTTTTTGATTCTGTTTGAAAATACCAGCGCATAAATAATGGACAAGCAAAATCAAAGAAAACTGAGTCGTGGCAATACACACTACAGGCTCCGTGTTAGAAAACCTTTATAAGGAAACGCTACACCTTTCAGTCGCTTCATGTGGTTCTAAATCCACGCTTTTTTTGTTTTCAGGAAACGCGAAAGACTAGATTGTTCTCAATATCTCAGCATGCAAAGGCAAATACCATACCAGGCCTGAGAACAGCTTCTGCTTTGAAGCCCTTGAAAGCATGCGAGAAGTCTGAGATGAAATGAACTCGGAGGCGTCGGCCGTGGCTGTACTGACGCAGCAGTTTTACCCGTCCGCTCCAGTCTCCGCAAAGGCGTCCACTACTGCGTTCCTCATCCGGCTCATCGATTTCCACGTAGTCATATTCACACCTGCACGAGGTTTTGGGAGAATGAGCACTGCCCGCAGACCTATCGTTCTTAACGGGAAATGCATTGACATCCCATAGAGGAAATTAAGGTGATCATATCGTCCCCCTTGGCTTCCGCTTAAGTGAAACCGACATTACAAGTTTTAAAAGCAGGTCACACAAATGCGTATTTGTGAGATGACTTCCACGATAGCCCTAGTTGCTTTAAATTTTCGGCATAAACAGCAAGTGTAGAAAGATGGCCGTCTATTTCCGCATACAGGTAGCTCTGGCATAGCCTGGGAGTGGCACTCCGGGCCCGTGCACCCCCCTCTCCTCCCCCAAAGTTTTTTCTCGCCATGAATACATAGCGCAAAAATGACCATTTGCCTGCCCGGCCATCACTTTAGATCAAGGAAGTCCCCCCCCCCCCCCCCATCTTCGAAAAAAAGTTGTGACATACAATTCTGACAAGCAGTTGGACGGGGCACAAAGAACAGCACGCAAGCGGACAACAAAATGATACGCATTGATGGCACAGCAGCTATCCGCATCCTTTTCTGCAGCTAATCAGCAGGGACACAAAATTAGAGTAACCTTAATTCGTTTGTAGAAAGCCAGAGAAGTCGGCACAAGCATTTACACTCGCTAGCATTAACCCGCGGCTTCGAAGTGCATGTAGAGAAGAAAAGGAAAACGAGAAAATGCGTGCATAATGCAGATAGGCTCATGCGGCGATTATAATACGTAATAGTCCGTAATATGTAATAGCAGCATATAGAAATCATTGCCGACTACAGGCAAGATGAAACGCGTCCTGTAGTCGGCCGCAATGACGTTGAGAAGGTGGGCGCACCCTGGATGGTCCTCTAGCAGAAATTCAGTGAAGCGCAGTTCCACGCGGAAGCCCGCTGGAGCCTGGATTTCGACGGAGCAGCGCTGGCTGTTGGGGTAGGCACCGGGAAAGTTGGGACTTGACACCGTGCCGCGGCTGTGCTCGGGGCTTAGCACCAACGTACGGTTGCACTCCAAAACACGTCCAACCTCCAGAGTGGCTGAGGTAAAAAGAAAAAAAAAACGATCGAGTGAATTAGAACGCTACATGGTAGAGCTCACAGATGAGGAGAAAGGAAGCCAATAGAAAGGGAAAAGACAGGAGGTTTAACCGGAAAGAAGCTACTAACTTAATAATACGAGAATCGGGCTCATTAGCTTCTCACGCTTTGGTGCAGGCATTGTGCAATTCAATGCAGAACAAATTCAAATATTTGAAATATTCGTTTCTCGAGTTGGGTTATAGGCCTAGTCAGAAAACGGTCATGTCTATTTTATTTTGCCTCATCTCAGTGGCATGTGAGTGTGCAATAATAAAGCAATTATTATTATTATTACTATTATTATTATTATTATTATTATTATTATTATTATTATTATTATTATTATTATTATTATAAATACAAAACATTAAAAATACAGAAACCACTAGGCCTTGCGCAGTGCGTGACAATGAAAAACGTGCTACGTCAGGACAAAAGGGTGTTTTCCCCCGATTTCGGCGGAAAGTTTCCGCAGCATTCACGTGCCCCTTTCAATGACTCTACCTGTCACACAGGACTTTTGAGGGCCTAGTTGGTGCATTCTCAAAGAAATTGCTTGGCGTTGGAAAAATACAACGTCCCATGTGTAACGGTATACTTGCGAATCTTCCTTGTGTGTTGCGTTCTACTAGCGACTAGTAACTTTTGTCTGTCACACAGGCCCCACCAGTCACCTACGGCACCATCGTTCGGAAGTAAGGCTCTTCATAACAGAATAATTGAACTTATAAAGGTGCTCTCAACATATCCGGCAAAAAGAGGGCTAAAATATGGCCAAAACAGAGAGGTAGGTATGAACAAGAAAGCTGCCTACACTTCTTCGTTCTCCTTTCTCATAGTATTGGTTTTCCAGGTATGTGCGCTTACCAACTAACCAAAACCTTGCTTTGGACAGTTTTAATAGATGATTATAAACAAAGATGCTATTTCTCATATATGTGCGTTGTTTCAAAATGAAACAGTAAGTCATGGTTTGCACAGACAAATGTGATGCTTAGCCGTCAACTTGTAGGAAGACTTACTCTTCTGTATTAAACGTATGTATGTGATGTATGTATGTATGTATGTATGTATGTGTATGTATGTATGTATGTATGTATGTATGTATGTATGTATGTATGCATGTATGCATGTATGTATGTATGTATGTATGTATTTATGTATGTATGTATGTATGTATGTATGTATGTATGTATGTATGTATGTATGTATGTATGTAGTATGTATGTATGTATGTATGTATGTATGTATGTATGTATGTATGTATGTTCGTGCATAGATAGATAGATAGATAGATAGATAGATAGATAGATAGATAGATAGATAGATAGATAGATAGATAGATAGATAGATAGATAGATAATGTTGTTTGCTCTCTTGAGTTTACTCTTGCACTTGTTTGGTTCCGATATACCTAGGGCGGATCTATGGGTGTTTAAGTACGGGTCGTAATTATGCGTCGTCATTCCGTTACGTCAGGCGACCGGTAGTAGGCGCACACACAATGGGCTTAAACAGCGCATTCTATCGCTCTATTGGATAGAGGGATAGAATGCGCTGTTTTTTCCGGACCACGTGTAGGCCCAATAATAAACCCTTTTCCGGTATTTGCACCGTAATAGAAGTGAAGCAGTCTTCCAGCGACGCATTGCACCGTGAAATGCCTACCTTATATCTACGGCAGGCTGACCGGACTTTGTACTATCTGCGAGATTGGCCCACATCTATTTGTAAATGGCAAGACAGAGGGGCTCATGTGTCCTTCTTGTAACAATTTTCTAAATATCAATTATAGCGTAAGACGTTATTGTGAATATTGGACCATGCACAATAGTAAATGAAAGTTCGCAGACATGAGGAAATCGCGTAAAAGGCACCGAGTGATGGTTACGGCGAGAATGTTGTGGTGAAATATGCACGATCAACGGCCAACAAATGATTTTAGCCAACCATTGAAAGCGCAAACGCGCCCGAGTAATCTACCGCAAATATACAGTGCAAAGTTTATTCCTTTTTTCCCAGAGCATGCCGATTCGTTGCGCCTCCTCGGCACAGAGAACGATAAAATGTGTAATTCCTTTACCGCCTTCGCGTAGCCGCTGGCAAACGAACGGGTTGGCAACGGCGCAGTGCCGGTCGTTCCAGAAAAAGGTGGCCGTGTGTCCCTGGCCCTTGCTTGGAAACAGAAACACGTCGCGCACCTCGACACAGTCCTGCTGCGCCAGACCATCGTCGCTGGGCTGGGCGCCATATCCACCGTGACTGCTCCAGCCAGGGAACCAATCTGCGAGAACCGCGTGGTGTTTAGCTCGTGCAAGAAGACGCCATATCACTTTGCTTTCACCCGAAATGCTAGAGCTGTGTTGCTTACAGCCTGCAAGGCTGCATTTTGTAGCTGCAGTGCACTGCGAGGCTCAGCGAACGCATGTGCACATGGTTATCAAGACACTATATAGACAGTTTTACTTGACCTTCCACTGCAGCTCGGTGGACGCAAGCTGCCAGCCATTCTGAGACATGCACGCTGCGTCCGCAGAGCCGTTTTGAACGCTCAGCTAAAACTGTCTATTGGGAAGAACAAATAAAACAGACGCAAGTTTTGGTGTGGAACATGTATTTGCTTGTGAAGAATCGTCCAAAATTTCAGTTTTTTAGTCATTACAGAGGTTTTATAATCAAGGCATTACTCTACTGTAAACTACGATCAACAACGATTGTATTGCTACTACTATGCCTTACCTCTAGCAATGGTGCACATAATAAGAGCGCTGTGTGTGTTTGATGCCTCGGTGTGTGCGTGTGTGAGTGATTGTTTCATGTGTTAGTGCTCAAATTAACTTTTAGAAATAATAATTTGCGTGCACTTGTTATTATATAACAGGATGTAGTGCAGGGGGGCGATGGTATGAATGTGTAGCGATGAATGATGATGAAGAGTAAGTAAAGACTGCATGGTGCGCATATACCGAAGGAAGAGCAGATTAGTATACCTTGAAAATTACCTTGTTTCCAAATTTTATATGCATCTCTAAAGCCATTCAATTCTTGGACGATTCCCTACTGTGGGTGAAAGGCACAGCGACTAGGCGAACAAAAAACTGCAGACGTGCGCATGGTCTTGAACTAGCTGCCGTCGGTTTCTTCGTCTGAACCATATTTACAAGGAAGTATGAGCGAGATACACGCTTGCAGGACATAAGGGCTTGTTCCAAGCAAACTTTTTGCACGCAGCTGTAAAAGAAAGAGAGCGAGAAAACAAAAAGAAAACACTACAAGTACTGTAAATGTGGTGTCGTATTGACAAAACTGTTTATTCGTAAGTGCTCTTTGACATTGACTAGCTAGCTCGGCGAGTGTTATGTCAAGAATTTCCAGCATCAAAATTGGCTGCAAACTTTTCTGCAATGTTCTTTTTCTCCATTTATCTCCCTTACGATCATTTAAAGTGCATGAGCTCAAACGAGCTGCACTGGGGCAACGTATTTTTACTTTTACGGCAAGATAACTGCTGCAAGTTCCTTCCAGGAAGGCTGGGAACGCTGTCGTTCTCGTCAACGGATCGAGCGCAAACCAGGACCGGGACGTGACTTGGTTCTGCACGCTGCCCTTCCGCTCAGACGCGTTTGTGGCTCTCCTGGTAGCCGTCGGTAACAACCTCCACAGCGGGGAATCAAGAAAGACCCGGTCAGGATGCGTAAACTAAAGCTGAAGTTTACAGCGTGCCTTTTTTGTACGAAGCATGCAAGTAAAAAACGCATGCTATAAAGGCGAGACATCTCAGCGTCTTTTCCAGTCAATATTTGCATAGCAAAACGGCCGGAAATCTTGTTAGGCACACTCATTTTTAATTAGCTCAACATAGACTTCAATGCAAGTGCCCGAAGAACTTCCATAACAGTGAGACTATAAGTTTTACCACGACTCCCTTTAATGAATGCGAGAAGGAAAACCGAAGAATAATTGCATTTCTAAAGCTCGTGCAAGCTTTTCTAAACGACGGCACTGCGTATTTTATGTAAAGCTAAACAAGTTTGCTGGAAAGTGTCAACATACGCCTTTTTTCTCTTCTTTAGGTTTCGAGTGCCTCATGCAAAGCTCGTTCACGGTTACTCAGCTAACCAAGGATAAATGCATCCTTCTTTCACAATGACATAACACTATATATAGAAATAGGAGTGGCAGAAGGTTTTATAAGACAAAACCGCCGATGCTGAGTATGTTGTGCAAACACAGGAACATAATCGAAGACAACATACGATTATCACGTTATTGCTTTGAATCTTTCATATCTCATTCATTCTGCGGGCATATCCTTTATGAGGGTAGCTTTTTGCGCACAGTGTACGATAAACGTTGCTTGCGAGCCATGTCTGCTGACGCGGCAGTGGCATTTTTGAAACGTTGAACTAATAATGATGTAGTCCTAATCTGTGCTTGGGAAAGGTTTTCTTTGAGATGCATGAGCCTGCTTTCTTCAAAGATTTCAATGTAGATCAGCCTAGCAAAGTCCAAAAGTGCGCAAAGAAAAAATAAAGAGAGAAAAATTTGTTTCCTTCAAATTCTCCTATAGGACGCGCCTTCGGTGTAAATATAGATTTATGTTGCTCTACCCCCCGGTTAAACAAAACAAGACAACAAAACCTGTGCGTTTCACCACGCACTAGATGTCGTTGTTTTTCCTCTTGCTCGATCCTCCTTACGATCAAGTGACAGCCAATACCCCTTCACCTTGCCACCTCCCCCATCTTCGATACTCTACCAATTTTTTTCTTGCCCAAAAGAAATGCGGTTTAACATAAACCACCGCAGAATGAAAAGAATTCGCAACGAACAGCCGAACAAGAAAACGCAATTACCAGTAAATTTTTTTTCCGTTTCGCCCCAGCCACGCGATCCTACACGAACCGCGTGCATTCGCTGCCAGGCTTTTCGGTTGCTTTTTCTCTGAGACGGTTGTCCCATGCCGTTTCCTTTGCTTTTTAAAGTCGCTTCTATTTCTGCCGTCTTCCGATGTCCAACGACGATTCAGAGCCCCTGAATTATTTATGTCAATGTGGGGAAGGGGGGGGGGGGCTCCCGTTTAATACTTTCGCGTCGGTGCATTCCTCGGCGGCGAGCGCCGACATTGAATCGTCTCCTCGCTATTCCCCTTTTCCTCCCATTGATTCCTCTCTTTGAGGCCCGAGAGGTCGTAGGTTTGGCGAGAAAGTCGGCACTTTTGCCGAACCACTGCACGCACTGCTATTAAAAACATGGCCGCGTTACTCTACAGAAAAGAGAAAGCAAAAATAATGAAGAGAGAGAGAGAGAGAAGAGTCACAACACGAGCGGCGAAAAACTAAACATGGAAAGGAACCGCTATGCATGAGGCCCGTTGACTGAGCATCAAAATTCTTTCTGCGTTCCTGCGCTGCACGTACAGCATTCCACATTTATTGCGGCAGAGCACACAATGCCCATCGTTCGTGAGGGCGGCTCGCCGCGTGTGAACTGCAAAAGAGCGAATGAAAACACAGCGGTAAGAACTAACACGAACGGAAGCTCAAATGAGCATCGCTTGTTGCGGCAAACAAGAAGTGCCGAGGCCCCTGCGGTCATGAAGCACTGTTCGGGATTCGAGGATGCACTTGTCGCAACATGCCTCGATGTATCCGTGATGCAAGAGCGAAGAAAGAAAGAGGATGAGAGCTGAATTATTATGGAATTGGTATTGATTTTCAGGATTGGAAAAGAAAAGATGTCGGTGACGCCAACCCAGGTAGGGAGTTTCACGCATGCTTTGTGTTGTAGCAAAAAAAAAAAAAAACTATTTTTTGCTCTTGTTTAAGAGCCGCACGATGGCTGCAGCTAACGCGATGCACCTGCGTGTGGGAGCTGTTATGCTATAATGTGAAAAGAGAAAATACGTTTTCGTGTAAAAAGATCTGAGTGGCTTTACGCAATCTTTTGACATGCTTTGGCAGGAATAATACCGCAGCACTTGTGCTAGTAAGCTCATACATAGCGTTGAGCGTACCAATTAATCGTACACATACCACCTGAGGTAGTCATTGTGCAGAAAAGAACAGTCTATCGTACTACTTGAGCAGCTACTTTATTAGGCATACGATCATACTCAAAAAATAAATAAGAGAGGCCACGCGCGGTGCGTGATGAAAATTTGGTTTTCTCCACTTCACTTTCTACATCCGTAGATCACGAGTACTTTGCCCCACAAAAACATAAGGAAGATTGATTGATTGATTTGTGGGGTTTAACGTCCCAAAATCACCATATGATTATGAGAGACGCCGTAGTGGAGGGCTCCGGACATTTCGACCACCTGGGGTTCTTTAACGTGCACCCAAATCTGAGCACACGGGCCTACAACATTTCCGCCTCCATCGGAAATGCAGCCGCCGCAGCCGGGAATCCAACCCGCGACCTGCGGGTCAGCAGCCGAGCACCTTAGCCACTAGACCACCGCGGCGGGGCTAAACATAAGGAAGATTGAGGACTACGACAGTATATGCGCTGGTACAACACTGAAGCTGTTTTGCCTGCTAAACAGAAAGCGATAAGAGAGAAATGTGAAAAAGGAAGAAATAAAGAAAAAAGAGAAAAAGAAAGAAAGAAAGAAAGAAGGAAGGAAGGAAGGAAGGAAGGAAGGAAGGAAGGAAGCAAGGCAGGAAGGAAGAAAGGAAGGCGTATAAATTCTATAGGGCGGAAAATGTTACGCACTGATTCATGACGAAGACGGAAACAAACATGCAAACTCAGACCGCGGACACCGGTGGTTGATCCTCGCTGCATTTCGTCGGTGCGGGCCTCGGCGACCGTAAATCAGTTCGCAGAGCAGCGGCGAGGCGAGCGCGCACCGCGACGCATGCACAAGAAGCGTGCGGGCCCGCTTTCAGTCAGCCTTGCTGATCCCGGGTATCTCCAGCCGCTGATCCTCTTCAGGGCGCTCGCGCGCGCGAAGCGAGGCACAGTCCGTCATGAGTTAACGACGGCGCTCGCATATGCTACAGCAGCAGGGCGGGCGCCGTTTCCTTGAACGGGAGCGAAAAGAAGCTCGAATCCGGCTCCCGGAGCCGGTTGTGACGAGGAGAAGAGTCGACGAGGCGCAGGAATGGCTCAGACCTCACTGCCAAGCTCCTAGCCCATCCACACCGGAAGAACTTGGCGCGCTCTTTGAAGTTCGCCAATGATCCGCGTGGATCGCCCACGGGGTCGTTATTGTTCCCGTTGCGCCAATGGAAAGGCCCCGGGAGGGGGATGCAGATTCCAAGCCTCCAAGGAGCTCAGCCGATTTGCCTCGTTCATCAGAATTAAGAAGGCGGCGGCTCCCTTCGGAACTGAACACACACACACACACACACACACACACACACACACACACACACACACACACACACACACACACACACACACACACACACACACACTCACACACACACACACACACACACACACACACACACACACACACACACACACACACACACACACACACACACACACACACACACACACACACACACACACACACACACACACACACACACCACACACACACCCACACACACACACACACACACACACACACACACACACACAAGAAAAAAAAAGAGAGAACTCATCGAAGGATAGTCAGTTGCGGAGGCTGCGAGTGCTTTCTCGTGTTAGAGGCGTGGGTAGCGGCACGTTGCGAGCCATCGCGTGGAAGTTATCTCCGCATGACGCCTTTGCTGTCCAGACGCGTGGCACAGAGCTTCGCCCTCACTTCCGCGGCAAGCTTCCGTGCCTTTTCTTCCTCACTCTCATTCACCCCTCCCACATTCTTTGACGCACGCTCACGCACATTATTTCAAGCTCGGAAACACTTGAATGATCGCGCCATGGCAGCCGAAGGCACGGGAGTTCTCTGAATGTTGCCGGCAACTTCACAATCCGGCCGTCTAACACAGACGTCGTCGTTCTTTTTCAGTATATCTTTGAGAGCATCTCGCTTTCTTGAAGTTAGCCACACTCTTGTCCTGTCTGAGCGGTTTTGACACCTGCCGATATATTTCTACTTGCGACTGAAAAGTTGTCCTCTTTCACTACAACTGTACATTTTCTGGCAGCGTGCAAAGCGTTTGCTGAGAACTACCAATATTTTAGTGCTAGGATAGATAAAAACGAGATTTTTTAATGACCATAAAAATGAGTGGTCCAGAGAAACTGACTAACGAACTAAAAAAATGAAAAAAATGAAACGGACAGGTCTTCGTTTTTAGAAATTGGTGGGACCACATTTAGTACACAGGTGTACGAGGGATGGCCAAGCACGTCCTCGTCTGCTAATGATGAAGACAATAAATGATAGCGTGGGAAAAGTATACAGGAATCAAGATTTAGTCATTCAGATCACTGGCACGTGATAGAATACATACAAAGTAAATCTCAAGGGGCCGAGAAAACGAAGACGGCAGTTTCTGTTGATATCAACATTGTATTATAACTTACGTGTATACTCGAATTCCTGGCCATCAGCCCAGGTGAAACAATTCTCGTACTGCAGATCATTTCCACCAATCCAGAAGATGTGATGATGATTCTTGTACTCGGCACTGAAAAAGAAATAAATAATGAATACACATGTAGCTTTTTAAGTTTGCTGCACATGCCATACGTGGCTCGAGCAACACTTTTCGGTTTTACTGCTTGAAGTCGCAGCCAAAAGTGTGTTCGTGACACAAGAACCTGAAACTTTGCGTGTCAATGTGTTCAATTCAATATTTGATTGATTGACTGTTTTTTGGCGGCGTGAGGGCCATTTTTGGGTAAAGAGCGCAGGTCAGATATTGCTAGCGCTTTGGAGACGTGGTAATAGAAATACAAGAAAGTGACTAGTACTTTGCAAAGAGAAAGTCAGCTCAGCACAAAATTGAAAACAGAATGACTGAGTGGCGCTTGCGTGCATCCCAAGTTGACGAGGCGAGTATTCTTTGGGCAAGAGTTGATTGATTGATTGATTAAAACTTTATTTTTGTCCTGAGAAGACGCAGGGGAGACCCCGCGCCACCCGGCTAATCCCACGTTGGGACCATCAAGCCGAGCTTGGTGGCCCGTTCACGGGCACTCTGGACGGCCAGGGTTTGATCCTTAAGTTCGGGGCTGCGTAAGAGCGCAACCCACCTGTCCTCGTTGAGGGCGGGGCCGATGGCTTCACATTCCCACAACACATGATTGAATGTGGCTAACAGTCCACAAGCGGGGCAATCCGCACTTGGATACCGTTCTCGAAACGATTATTGCCCCAGCGAAAGGGGACACCACACTTCAAGATAATAGATGTAGCTCGCATGACCCGGCTCTGTCTGTGCGTACATTTCCTGGTTATCTGTTCACGTGCTTGTCAGTAAACCACGTGGCATATTTAAATTTTATTGCGATAGTAATCATATGGACACTCTTGACGGGTTTTCGCCGTCGCCAGCGCTATCATATTCTGTATAACGTCCAAATTGATAACATCTTACACTCATCGTATGTGCTACCTGAGATTAGGAGCGCACAAGCGGGGGGGGGGGGGGGGCGACGATTGCTACTGCAGCAGAGATGAAGCAAGCCGGCCCGGCCCATCTTCGTCGCTCGGAGTAGGAAGGCGCATGCGATAAAATCCCCCTGCGTGTTAGACCTGCCATAGAGTGCTCAAGCAGAGAGAAAGCACCCTGCCCGTTTTCAATGAGCATAAAAAAAAACACGTAGAGAAAAGCCCGTGGATAGGGTAGGGAAGTACAGCTTAAGCGGCAACTGTGAATTTTGCTCTTAGGGCAAGTTCGTGATAACTGGCACGCGCTATCTCCGAAATCATCAACACCCAGCTCGTGTTTACTTGCTGCGCTCTCAAGCCGAAGAGGTGGTGCGGAAAGAAAATTTCTCCCTTAAGCGACCGTATTCTCTTACGCCAGCGTTTTGTAGAGCCACGTGATATCAGATTCAAAAGAGCTGTCATCCTCACTTTGTACAACATTAAATTTGGTGCTAACGCACTCATTGCTTCACCCTGGCGGTAAAACAAGAATTTTTTTCGTTAAAATTATTAGCGCATCAGGTTAAGCCGGATGCTTACAAAAGAAGAAAAACAATTCATCTTTACACTGAATGTTCTTTGCACGCGTACTCCCAAGGGAAACTAAAAAGCATAATCGGAAATGCCGAGTTGGTCGACCCTTTTCTCCTTTATTGGATACGGCTATCTGGGCCACGCAGCTGAGTGGTGAAAAGACCACAGAAATAAAGTCTTTCGGTCGTTGAATCCCAGGCGTTGAACAATAAATTGAAATAAAAAAAAACGTCTAATGAAACACATTAGCGCAAAAAAGTAATTGGACGCTTTTGTACACGGGGATGAACATGGTTTGTCGTATTGCGAAAAAGAAGAAAGATGTGGCTGGAGCTAACTTTTGCTGTGGAGGTACTGGTTGGTCATGGCTTATGCCGCACATAGCGTTGGAAAGTCATTCACATGCAACTAGAAGAAATTGCGCCATATCAACAGAATAAGTGATGAAAAGTGGGCGAAGCTCAAGAGAGGGAGATCATCGGTAAATCGAAACTCTCCCGTGAAAAGTTAGCCCATTACATCATTATAAAGACGTAAGACTGTGGGTATACTAAACAAGTAAACTTTTATTTTGTTCTTGTTCGCTTGTTGTTTTGTTTTTCTCGTTTGTTCTTTTGATTTCTTCTTTGTCATGGCAGCTGGATTGCGAAGTCCCTTCATTAATATGGCTTTATGGTCCATGAAACAAAGGGAAAAAGGTTCTTGTACTGGCTGCAGTGGGAAGTTTGCAAACACTAAGTATATGCACGTCCCTCGGATAGCGGTAGGTAGCATATGGATAAATCTGAGTGCGTATTTGGTAAGCATGTGCTGCACGATGCAGTCATTGACAATGAGGTTCATCCGTCCATGCGTCCGTCCGTGCGTCCTTTCTAGCATTCGTGAATCCGTCCATCCGTGCGTCCGCTGATGTGTCCGTTCGGCCATTGCGTCCGTCCATCTGTCCGTCCGTTCATCTGTCCGTCTGCCTGTCTGTCTGCCGCTCTGTCTGTTCATCCGTCCTTAAATGCCTGTCACTCACACTAGCACCACCTGCGAACGAGTTATACAAACAACTAGGTGGTTACGAAGCAGTCACAAAATACCTGCATGGACAGAACCACGGGTTTAGGAGCTTCGCCCCTATTATGTGGGCGGCTTGCGCGAGTTGTGCCCAGGATGGACTAGCAGCGGAGGTTGTGGCTGACCAAAACTTTGCGCATGATCCTAATTAGCACAAATTTATTTAACGTAATCTTATGAAACATGTTCATAATTAGCAGGACCCTCTCTCTCTGTGTTCGCTGCTTTTTGTCCTTTCTCTTCCAATTATATGTTCTCTGCTTCTCTCCTGTTTTTCTTCAGAAGGCACCCACATTGAAGAAACGCCTACAATGCGAATCCACAAGGTCGACCTCAATGGGCTTGCTGGCCCCAGGCCTTATTATCCGCCACAGTTGTGGCCATATAGTCCGCCAGATTACTAGGCGATACAGAAAGGTGTGCTATAAATGTCACCACTTTCAAATCTACGTCGCCAATAACAAACTGTTCTTATTTGCAGACAATCCTAAGATGAAGAAGATGACGAAGAAAGTGCATGCCGGCCAAGTTGCACATCATCGTTGGCCCCAGCTTATATGATGGTTGCAGGAGTTTTAGGTCTCAAAACGAAGACATGATAATGGCCGACGCCGTAGTGGAGGGCTCCGGAAATTTTGCCCTCCCCTCCTGGGGTTCTTTAACACGTTCTTAAATTTAAGTGCACCTGCCTCTAGTATTTCGCTTCCCTCGAAATGCGGCCGCTGCGGCAGGGATTCGATCCCACGACCTTGTGGTCAGCAGTCGAGCACCGTGACCACTACAACACCGCGGTGGGTTACGCCTGCTTTTCATTCGAGCACTCTCCGAGGACAGTTGCAGGTGTGACCCATGGCCAGATCAGAAAAGGGTGCCAACGGCAACCACGACATACAACAATCGCATAGAAATTGCTAAAGAATTTCGAAAGGAAGCTTCACGTCGGTCCATTTGTTTTGTGGAATAGAGAAAAATAGAGATTTTTTTCTATAGTGGGTGTGTATGAACGATGGAGACCGTGTGTCTTACCATTTGAAACGCGAAGAGGCTTAGGAATTGCGCCAAAAGAAGAACCCGTACTCAAAAAAAAAAAAAAGAGAAAGTTTCGAGGTCAAACTTGTTTGAGCTCACATAACTAAATAATGATGTAGGACAAGTTTGAAAAAGTAGCCTTTGAGCAGTAACAACGGTTTTGAACGAAAAACTGGGAATACGGGTCAAGGTGCCGTAAACGTTGCCCTTTGGCACAACTGAACCGATTCGCGAGCAGGTTAAGTTGTCTGCACCGGTTTGAGATTGCTTGCCCCACCAAACCAGAAATGTGTCGCAGCAACGCTGTAACACAATAAATTGACATAAATCCTTAACTTTTACTGTGCGACATGATTTACGCTTATATTTGCGTCTTGAAACCATTACAGGCTGTTAACTACAGCGAAAGATGGACAGACTAAAACATGTACCACACATGTAGACTCACATTCACCTAAGTCACCCCACAGTTTTATTTTCAGTAACGGCACAGTTTACTGGTAAGACCACAGCCCACTTGAGAGACAAAGGGGAAAATAAAAAAAAGAAAACAAAGCAAGGAAAGCACGTGAAGAGCACCGGCGAAGTTCTTTGGAAGCACGAAAACACTTCTGCTCGCATACCACCAGTCTCAGGTAGCAAACATGGGATTTGCTTCGTCCTTTTGCCGAAATTTTACGGACGTCAACGTGGAAGCTTGAGAGAGCGGTACCGATGACCAATCTTCAATTGTTACATCCAGTGAGGCGCCACGTGGTCGATGACAAACTTGGCTGTGAGGGAAGGGCGATGCCTGAGCACTAGCAGCGGGCCTCACAACGACGCGGCTGCTGAGCAGGAGCGACAGCGCTTCGCGGGAACTTCGTGGCAGCTAGAATTTCACGACAGAACGGGTGGGATGGGCGCCGCGGAATGCGTTCGGACAGGCGGGTCCGACGGCAGCGTGTGGTTGCTCTTACATGATGACGCAACTCTTGCGACGGCCGCGATGAGTGCCGAGCCGTTTGAGTTCCTCGAAGTCCCTCCGAATCTCGCTCACCTCCTCTATGTCTCTCTGAAGCTGATCGTCCTTTTCGATGCACAGTCGATGGAGCGCCACCAGCATGGCGTTCTTCTGCTCCGACTCGAGGCGCGAGTTCTCCAGGTTCTCCTCAAGACGCTCGATCCTGGAGTGGAGCTCAGCTACGGTGCGCAAGTAAACCTCCCTCTCCATTTCGGAACTCTGCAAAAAGGCCTTAGTCAGACAGGGCAGACGGCAACCGATGTCGAGTAGCCACGGAAGCAGTGAAAGTATGACGCCGCCTCACGAGCGCCTCGCTACCACTCTCTGCTTCTTCGTCGTCCACGTCGCTGGCACGTGCAAGCCACGATGGAACCGTCTTACAGAAGAAGAGTTT